TTGCTTTGGGGTTGTCATCCCCCTTCATGCTATACTAGGAAAAAGGGGGTGTCGCCTTGACCTTGATGTTATATGGCCTCTTGTCCACTTCTAGGTTCTAGAAGTACTTAGTGAGGAAAATGGGGAAAGGGTAGTTCTGGTCATGCTCCGCACCCACTATCGTGATAATCCGAGATATCACATTCCTCACATTTATGGGTTACCCTGCCATAATCGAAGCAACCAATACAGTCTGGTGGAGAGGAAGGGTGTTGTCATGAGTGGTAGGGTCCAACCGGCTGCAAACAAAACTCTCCCATCCCCTCGCTTCAAAGTTCAAGGTCCTTCTCAATATTTTGACCCCAGCAATCAACCAATCGGGGACGGTACTTGGGATTGCCAGGTACTATGCTAGCCATGGACGGACCTCCTTGCCTATCTCCATATATACAGAGTCTCATCCTCCTCATTGAAGCCCAGATATTCATTAATCGACTTCCCATCAAATAACACCTTGAAGTTCCGCACCTTGGTCACTTTGGAGCCCTTTTTGATGTGGGCTACATTGCAATAAAACTCCTTGACCAAGTGTTCGTTGGCATCCACACAAGCATCTAGGAAGTGCTCCCAACCCACTGTAGTTCTAAATTGTCTCTACATATTGGGGTTGTGGGGTAGTAAGTCTTTGTCAATGAAACTCCGCTCCAGTATCAACTTTCTCACCGGCCACCACTCCCTAAACTTATGGTATGCCACTTCACTTACAAACCTATCCTCCCAAGCTTCGGGCTTCCTAGTTCTAGCAACGCCTCCCACCTGAGGCTCACCTCCTTCAGCTACCTCCTCATTTCCCTGTACTTCCACCTCACCTCCTTCTGCACCCTCCCCGGATAATGAAGTTGTGGGAGAGGTGGAGTATTCCCCACTATTGGCTGTTGAGCCCTCAGACAATCCAGAAGAAACATGAGTTGGTGCTTGGGCAGTGGATGATGGTGGAGGAGTGTCTCAATCGAAGCCTATCCGGCCAGTAAGGGATGTATTCAGGTATAGATCCGAAGAGATTTCCTGGGAGGGCTCATACTCACTCCCCGACATGTCAATGGCCCTATCAGCTGCTTTTTTGGCTTTCTCATATTCTTGATGTTTTGCCTCGCTTGGAGAGTGAGTCGTACCATTTTCTACTTTCCACCCTGGGAGGATTCACCTCAGCCGAGTTGTTTAGATCCCTTTCCTTTTTGCTTACCCATTGTCTGCAAACATCATTCAATACATTTGTTAGTATCAATAGAAGTGTCACACCTACTTTTTACTTACACCCCCGAGAAAGGGTATAAGAGAGTTTTTTCCAACTTAAAGTGACAATCGAAACGGGATTCATTTATTATTAAAAATTCAGAGTCGCCACTTGGGATAATTTGTGGTGTCTCAAGTCACCTGTTCAAATCCCGAATCGAGGAAAAGATTGACTCTATTTTACAGTCCACGAACACAGAAATCCGGGTAAGGAATTTTGTTAACCCGGGAGAAGGTGTTAGGCATTCCTGGGTTTCGTGGTTCTAGCACGGTCGCTCAACTGTTATAATTGGCCTATTATCTGATTTAATACAGGTTTTAGCCTATTGTGCAATTTTAAACTTTATTAACCGCTTTTAATTATTTTTAAGAAGATTTCAACGGTATTTAAAAAATATCTCGAGCCACGTCACATAAATGCACATGCGGTCCCCGACATATTTTATCTAATATTGTTAAGATGTGGATTTGGGTCACAAAAATGCGCACCCGAGTTTAGGAAAGTAATTTTTAAATAATGCGCCTAAAGCAACTACGCATTCGCAGATTTGCGAGGGCCATGGAAATTCAACTAAATAGCACGCCTCGGTTTATTTTATAATATTGTACTTAACTAAAGCAAACTACGGATGTTCATAATCATTTTTTCTAAACTACTTTAGGATTATTGTATAGTAGTAGAATATAAAATTTATTGTGGAAGAAAACGAAACTAATTTAGATAAGTAAAGGTTGACTTCACTAGTTCTAGAACTCATGCTGGCTTTGAAAAACTATCGAAAATTTCCATGCTATACAAAGCAATCTGACTATTTACTGGAAAGCAAGGTTTGAGATGCCTTTAACCTATTTTTTTATTTTTTATTTTTGGTTAAAGCCTTGAACCTATTTTACTCGAGGAACATCCAACAGAAGCTCTCGAACCACAAATGGCCAGAAGAACTTCATGAATCAGTCTCTAAAATTAGATGAAAAAGCAACTAAAATGATAGCCACATAAACCATATTTAACATGAGACAAAATAATACAATAATTAATGAAAACAAACAACCACCTAAAATTACATATTTATGCAACAGTTAAACAAGCAAATATCACAAATGGAAAGCCCAAAATATTATTATCACATGAGCAGCAAAGCGGAAAGAAAACAAAACCAAACAAAACAATTCAAAGAACCACTATACCAAATCTGGAAATAAGAAAGATAAGTGAAGTTAGAGTATGACCTTTTAATAGCAACTTTCTTTATTTTAAACATGAAAAAACTCCATTGAAGGTCAGCTCTTTGAATCAACAACCAAAACAAACAAAACAATTGGCCAGAAAACTTGAGCTAAATGTACGAATATCTCGAACCAAGACCGGAGCTCGAACGACGATGCCGAACTCGACTCGAAAACGGAGGAAGCTTCGAGGTGCTTTTAAATGAGGTTTTTGGCTGGTTTGAGTGCTGCGTTTTACAACTGATTCGGCTACTGCTTCATCTGTGTTTTTTGTAGCTTGAGATGGTATATATTGGTGAAAGGATGTTATGGGTTAGTGAGGAAGATCAGTGAAGTTTGGAGTGTTTAATGGAGATTTTCTAGTGTTTTCCGTGAACTCCCATGGTGAAAACGGAAAAGAAAAAGAACATTTGTGATGATGGTGAAGAAAAGCTATCGTGATCCAGATCTCTCTCTCATTTCCTGCTCACTCCCTCTCTTCTATAAATAATGTGTGTATTGTCAATTTGGAGAAAAGCACCCTATTTTTGTTTTTTCATCTGTCACGCACCACTCTCTATTATGTTTTCTTTGTTGTCCCATTGTGGGGTGGGGTCCTATCTTGTAAAAGGCGTTGTTTTTTTTTCTTTTTCTTAGATCTTATCTGGGGAAAGGTCTTAAATGGGAAATATTTTATGGAGAGTGGGGAATGACATGAAAGAGAAAGGAAAATTGTTAGACACGTGCATGTGCGTTCAAAATTGTGTTGGTAAGACAAGAGAATCTTTTTGAAATAAGAAGTTTGTCACCAAACATTTATCTGCCATGAGTTGGCGTAAAACAATTCATTTTGTTTTCTTCATTTTTGTTTTGCTTTTCTCTGGTTAATGAATAAAAGGTAAAATTAATATTCCTACTAACTTAACATAACAAGTCAAAATTACTACCTAAACTAAATAATATTTATTTGTTAAAAACATCTAACTTAAAAACTACAATACATACACACATATATATATGTTGAAACCTTTCCTTCCTTTGCAAGAGAAAAATAAAAATAAAAACTACAACTCTAAAGATGCAAATCTTTTTGTATGATTTTAATTTTATCAAATAAACCTACTAAAATAAGTGAAATAAAGGTTAACATATGTAGAGTAATTTTAAAATATTTACATACTAAAAAGTAGTGAAAAATCTAAATATGGTCAAAAATTAAGTGTTCACAAGAAGCAGTTCATATTATTGTTGCAGAAAGAATTGCAGAACAGAGGCAAAATGTTGGAGACAGTTCTCAGAAGATACCCAGTGCAGACCGCACAAAAATGGAGTACAGCCGCACAGGGGCCAGTGCGGTCCACACAAAATGGAAGTGTGGTCCGCATAGAGATGGGGTTCAAACTACCCATCCTCTGTATCTAACCAGCGCGAACCGCACAAAACACTAGTGCGGCCGCAAAGGGGCCAGTGCGGTCCGCACAAAATGTAGTGTAGCCGCAAAGGGGCCAGTGCGGTCCGCACAAAATGTAGTGCGACCGCACTGCCCAAGGTTCATCTTTCCAGAAGTTCATCAGTGCGGTCTGCACAAAATGGTACTGCAGACCGCTCTGGGGCACCGCGGACCGCACAAAAATGACCGCGGTCCTCACAAAATGGTACTATAGACCGCACTGAGGCACCGCGGACCGCACAAAAATGACTGCGGTCCTCACTGAGTACCCAGAAGTGGCACTGAGTTAGGGTTCATGAAATTTTGCCTTTAAGGCCATTTTTCCACCTAATTAGAGTCCCTAGATGATTACCCAACCCATTACACTAACTAAGTCCATATGAATACAATTTTAAACTAACCTAACCTATCAATTAAAGAAATACGTGAGGAGTAGAAAGTAAAACTTAAGAAAAACAAAAATTAAATGAAATTGATAAAATTAAACTAGTAAAAGGAAGATTATGGTACCAGATTATGAGATGAATTGAATCAACGCAATGCAAATCAAGTAATTACGATCAAAGGAGAAGACGAGCAATGTTTATAATCTCTGAGATTCAATTTTGCGAAAAGAGTAAAAGGAGGCCCTCGGGGTCTATTTATAGAAAAAACCCTGGGCCCAGTCTCACCTACCAGTGCGAACCGCACAAAATGGACCGTGGTCCGTACTGAACTGTTTTGTTTAAGTTTGAGAAGGCAACACTCTGTGGTCCGCACAAAATGGACTGCGGCCGCAGAGTTCCACCGCGAATCACACAAAATGTAGTGTGGCCGCGGTGACAAACTTCAGAGAGGCTTCAATTTACCCATACCAGTGCGGTCCGCACAAAATGTATTGTGGTCGTACTAGCAACTTCAAAGACCTGTGCATTTTTTTTCACTATGTCTTGCACTGCATCAACACAACCTGTAACATCTCACAACCAGTTAGCCCAAAAATCAATCCTATACTTCAAAGAAAATCAAAGAAAGCAAGAATAAAAACACATGGGTTGCCTCTCAAAAAGCCCCTGATTTAACGTCGCGGCACGACGCAGGTTACCATCACATCATTTGAAATGAAGGAGCGCCACCACGTGGCTGTCATCAATTTTTCCAAGATAATTCTTGACTCGGTGCCCATTAACTCTGAAGACTTTACCATTTTTGTTCTTTAAATCAATAGCACCAAAAGGGGTCACAAACACAACTTCAAACGGTCCACTCCATTTTGATTTCAGTTTTCCCGGAAACAGACGTAACCGGTAATTGAACGAGAGAACTAAATCACCTACTTTGAACTCCTTTCCATGAGCATATTTATCATGAAGGTACTTCATCTTGTCCTTATACAAGGACGAACTGGAGTAGGCATGGAATCTGAATTCATCAAGTTCATTGAGATGCTCCATACGAAGATTGGCTGCAACATCCCACTCAAGATTTAGTTTCTTCAAAGCCCACATGGCCCTGTGCTCTAACTCAACAGGAAGATGGCAAGCTTTCCCAAATACCAACCGATACGGAGACATACCAATCAGAGTTTTGTAAGCTGTCTGATAAGCCCATAGAGCGTCATCCAACTTCTTCAACCAATCGGTCCTATTTGCATTGACCGTCTTTGACAATATGCTTTTGATTTCACGGTTGGAGACTTCCATTTGACCACTTTCTTGAGGGTGATAGGGGGTATAAACTTTGTGATTGACACCGTACTTAGAAAGCAACGTGTCGAAAGCTTTATTGTAAAAATGAGATCCCCCATCACTAATAATTGCACGAGGAGTGCCAAACCTTGTGAAAATGCTCTTCTTAAGAAATGCAACAATAGCCCGGGCTTCATTGGTAGGCAAAGCCATGGCTTCAACCCATTTTGAGACATAGTCAACCACCACGAGAATGTAAGTATTCCCACAAGAGCTAACAAATAGATCCATGAAATTGATGCCCCAAACATCAAAGATATCCATTTCAAGAATGGTATTTAGAGGCATCTTATCCCTTTTTGAAATTCCACCTGCTTTTTGGCATTTGTCACACCTCTTCACAAAATCACCCGCATCTTTGAACAAGGTTGGCCAATAGAACCAACAACTAAGAACCTTTGAGGCGGTCCTCACCCCACCGTGATGGCCACTATAGGGTGAGGAATGGCAAGCCTCTAAGATACTCAATTGTTCTTGCTCCGGGACACACCTACGAATCACACCATCCGTGCAAAGCTTGAACAAGTACGGCTCATCCCAATAGAAATCCAAACTATCCCGCTTGAGCTTTTTCCTTTGGTTAGAAGAGAGCTCACACGGGATTATTCTGGTCACAAGGTAATTAGCAACATCGGCAAACCATGGCATATCATTCAGTGACACCGCAAGGAGTTGTTCGTCGAGAAATGAATCATTGATCTCAAGGCCATCACAAGGCCTCCCCTCCTCCTCCAAACGGGATAAGTGGTCCGCCACTTGGTTCTCACTACCTTTCTGGTCCACAATTTCCAGATCAAACCCTTGAAGTAGTAACACCCACCGCATCAATATTTCCTTGGAGTCTTTTTTTGTCATCAAGTACCTAAGGGCGGCATGGTCGGTGTGCACTATGACCTTGGCCCCCATAAGATACGGCCGAAACTTTTCCATTGCAAACACTATGGCCAACAACTCTTTTTCGGTAACCGTGTAGTTCACTTGAGCATCATTCATTGTCTTGCTCGCATAATATACCGGATGAAATATTTTGTTCACTCGTTGACCCAAAACTGCCCCAACCGCAACATCTCTAGCATCACATGAGCTCAAAGGGCAAGCTCTAATTAGGTGCGGTAATGATAGGAGTGGTGGTCAACTTATGCTTGAGAAGTTCAAAGGCTTGCATACACTTGTCATCAAACACGAACTTAGCATCCTTTTCTAGTAGCTTGCACAAGGGGTTTGCCACATTTGAAAAATCTTTAATAAACCTCTGGTAGAACCCTGCGTGCCCAAGAAAACTCCTTACCCCCTTGACGGAAATGGGGGGAGGAAGCCTTGAAATCACCTCTATCTTGACTTTGTCAACTTCAATCCCACGCTTTGAAATCTTATGCCCGAGAATGATTCCTTCTTCCACCATAGAGTGACATTTCTCCCAATTGAGGACAAGATTGGTTTCTTCACAACGGGCCAATACCCTATCAAGATTCTTCAAGCATTCATCAAATGAGTCCCCCACAACACTAAAATTGTCCATGAATAACTCCAAAATGTCTTCCACCATATCGGTGAAAATGGCCATCATACACCGTTGAAATATAGCCGGTGCATTACACAACCCAAAAGGCATCCTAGAGAAAGCAAATGTTCCATACAGACAAGTGAATATGGTCTTTTCCTGATCTTCCGGAGCAATCAAGATTTTATTATACCCCAAGTATCCATCCAAAAAACAATAAAAGGGACGCCCCGCAAGGCGGTCAACCATTTGGTCAAGGAATGGCAATGGGAAGTGATCCTTGCGGGTCACCTTGTTCAGCTTCCAGTAGTCCATGCATACCCTCCATCCAGTGACTGTCCGAGTGGGAATAAACTCATTGTTGTCATTTGTCACCACATTCATATCACCCTTTTTTGGTACACATTACACTGGAGAAGTCCACGAGCTATCGGAAATGGGGTACACAACCCCAACATCCAACCACTTGATCACCTCCTTTTTCACAACCTTTTGCATTGCCTCGTTCAATCTTCTTTGATGCTCCAAGGAAGGTTTTGCATCATCCTCCAAGATAATTTTGTGCATACAGAAAGCGGGGCTTATTCCCTGAATGTCAGCCAAAGTCTATCCAATTGCCCTTTTTCGCCTTTGAAGCGCCGCTAAAGTGGCCTCAACCTGCATGTTAGTTAGGTAAGAAGAAAGAATAACTAGTAAAGTAGAATTTGAGCCCAAGAACTCATACCTGAGGTGTGGAGGCAATGGTTTCAACTCCAACACTGGTGGTTCCTCAATTGATGGTTTTGTTGGTGGAGTTTTCCAGTTTTCAAGATCCAAAGAGAATTTTCTAGGCTCATAGGAATAAGAGCCCATCCCATGTAAGGCAT